TTTCTGACGCATAAAACCCATTCAATATAACAGAAACAAATTTTCTGTTCTATTACGTCAAGCGACCCATACAATGTAAATTGTTACCAATTGTATATTACACTAAATATGATAAAATGTCACTTGGACCAGAAGAGTAGGCATGTAATCTAGAAAATATTATTTAGCTACATATACTCTAGAATTTGAACAAATGATAATAAAAATACAAGGTCTGTAGTAAAGCTCACAAAAAATCTGCCCTTCAACAGTTTGCCAACTGTACGAGTGTATAAGCAATCCTGCACGAGCACATGAGAAAGTTCATGAATTAAGCCGTTAATCTAGATTGAGAAGCAAAGACAGTTTAAATAGACGCCTTGCCTTACAGATTATCGAAGTTTAAAAGGTGATAAATAACCAGTGTGAATTTGGTATGCAATGTACTTCGTAAAGCATACGAAGGCGCCAGCCAGAGTATACACTTGGTCGAGTACACCGAGCGCTAAGTCCGACCGGTTATGTAGCGTCTGCGGCCGCTAGAGTCAAGGACTAGGGGAGTCGCGTTCAAAAAGTGTGATGTATCGCAAATGCTAATGAGCAACCATACGCGACTTGCATGTACGTGCCTTTCTTAAAAGAACATCTCGACTTGCAGTTCCCTGGCACAAGTAATGCAAGCTGGCTTCAATAGACTGCCTTACAAGCCAATGCGTCTGAGGAAGCGAACAAGATATTGCCGCTTGGTGTAGGGAACCTCGACGACAACGCAGGACCGCGGTACTGAGCTTGTTGATAACAACATACATACAAACTGTAATGCAATACGCTCAGGCATGCATTCATTCCTCGATGGGACAAAAATATTCAACTGTAAGTTTAATATGCAATGGCTCGCTAGAACAAACGTAACAAGCAAGTTATGTCGACGCTCACAATGAACATGTAAGTACCGAAAAATTCCAGTAAAGCTTGCTATGAGAACGGAATACAAACAATTATCTTCCATGTGTGCACTCTGCAACTAAGTGTTGGGAATCAGTATATTGTGTTATTAAAGCTTCAGTCAAACACAAAGCGGCGTATACCAGTACACACACATGCCTGCGTTGTAATGTACTGTCATCACAATTTAATACTGCAGATGAAATATTATAATCCATCATTGGATGAATGAGAAATGCTTCACACGTTCTTGAATTGAATTCAAACACCGCGTCAAACGACGTAGCAAATTGACTAGACCTCGACAATGGCTCCTTAGATATTTGTGGCATTACCTCGTACAGTGCAATTAAGCCAGTTCTGTTGTCTTTATTACATACAATCTATGAAGAAGCTTCATTCAGGAGGTTGCAATGGTAAATGAGGCCTCAAACAAGCTGTGTGATATTTAAGCGAAGCACACATAACAACCTCTGATCTCTTACACTTGCGCTTGAACTTGTTGCGAGGTTATCATTTTTATTCGACACTGTCTACTTATCATCTAATAAATGATCATCTTCCGGATCGTGTGGATTCGTGTGAAGCTACAAAGTCGGACTATCAATGCTTACAGCCTCAATCTTGTATAGGAAAACTGCGTTCTAAATAAGTAAATAAATTCACGTTCCCTTTTCTATCGTAGCATGGGAACGAGCAGGCTGTGAAAAATCTAACTTTGTATTATTCGGTCGGCAACAGTAAAACATTGTTTTTATCTTTACAGTAGATTAATCATACATGTTTCTCGTGGCTTCTTCATCAATATTCTTCACAATTCTGTTGCATTTCTAAGATGTTCACAAACTTGCACTCAAGCTACGTTTAATTTTTAAGAAACACACACACGTTCTGCATACTTTTTAAATGTGCTCGTAGTTCAGATTCTATCAGTTCAAAAACGCCATAGGTTGCATGTTCTGAACGAAAGACATAAAATCGATTTCAATTACAATTCATAAAAACATATGCATGTGGTTTAATAAAACAAGCACGAATTTAACTATAAGTCAATATCTGAGGTTTCAACTATTTAACATCCTCATCGACATGGGAGCTATACTTAATTAAGTAGCAGCAAATCAAAACTAGGTTTTGGCCCGAACATTTCAATCAGATGAGTTAAGTAGCTATAAAATATGAACATGCACATTGTCTTCAACGAGGATGTTTTTACAACATCATCAATAATAATGATGCGATTGATTGCATTAACTCGAAACATTTTTTGAGAGTTAATAACAATGAATTGAACAGCAATTCCATTGAAAACCGAAATTAGAACTCCGCTTCAATTTCAACATAAGAAATAGTTAGGGCGGTTTAATCTGTTGATTCGACTTATACGACTCACGTAATTAATTTAATATAATTTAAATTTCCGACGGCAGCGGTAACTTCAAAAACTAGAAGTCACCAAGCATCACTAATAGAACATGATACTCGCGTAAAAAAATACATGATAATCACGTAAAAAATACATAACTTAAATCACATACGGTACTAAATTACTTCCAGGATGTACACTCACCATTTTAAATACAATAGCTTATTTATGGACAATTGATATTCCACAGAATTTAAAACAATTACATTACTAACGTTAGATACTCCTCATTTAACAGCAGATAATAGCTAATATTACCATTAAATTCTCGCTAGTTATTAATACTAGCAGTAGATAATCATTATAATTAACTAAAATACTCATTACAACTGGTAGTTCACCTTTTTATTAAAAGTACTCAATGTTTTTAATTTTTGTCATCATTAATAACTGTACGGGTATGTAGATAATTAATCTTACCAATAGATACTCATAATCCAGGTACGGAGCTCTGTAGGAAGAAGCTACATATCACAAGCACAAGTGCAACGAACTATTTTAACCATTCAAATTAGTTTCGATTTTAAACAACAAGACAATAGCAATTCCTACAATCGAGTGCTTAGTCTAATAAGAGGTTATCGCGCAATGAACAAAACACAAAGCCAGAACGATGTTAATTACGGCCGTGTTCAGAGGTGAAGTTCACCTTTGAATACTAACTACATTTCATAATAACTTCTGAACATTTTTCATCGCTACTAATATCCACTGAAAAGTCTAGGCTTTACAAAGCTTTAATCAACCGCATTGAAAGATATTAACAAAAGTCTATTGGATGAGAGTTTGTAAATTGACGATTGCATTGTATTTATTTATTCATTTTAATGTTACAAACAAGTAAAGGCAAATATTAAAAACACATTAAAATTATAAAAATAATCCACATTATATTATACACATTAAAAATTATAGCTGCCCAAAACTAGCAAGCTTGCTTGTTTGTGAAGAAGAGCGCTTGCACGCATACGTGCGCAGATATCAAGCTAGACATCTTGGCCTTGGCAAGCACAGAACGTGAGAGCGAGAAGCATAACTCTGACACTCTATACACAGCGTCTAACGGTCACCAGCCATTTCTAACTCAGCTATTGCATACTTCATCTGGTTATTTATTTCCTTTTGAATAAAATAAACAGAAAATATCCTTTGAATAAAGTTTAAGTAGAAGATACGTGGATACCAAGTTATCCCTATAATGGTCGATATTGACATCCTGAGGGACAAGGATAGAACTCGAGAAGTCGACAAATGTTTAAGGTAAGGACTTGATATCCTCTATACTTCAGTAAACTTCCATTCATTTCTAGTAACTTCATATTAGTAAAAAGCTGTCGCTTCATCTCAATACATTTCTTCTAACATTGTTTAGGATACAGAACCAAATGTCTTTGGTTTGAAACATTTCCACTTTTTCGTCATCAAAAATCCTAATAAAGTTTTACTATTTTTCACATATTTTTATGTGTATATGTATGGAGTAGACAATGCATGTACAAACATCTTCTGAAGAGGTGCACAGGTAGAAAATTTTGCATCAAGATTTCCTTCAATTTTAGTATGTGTAGAAAATGATAACTTTTCGTATTAAAAAATCCCTAAGAAATTATTATTATAAATTCTAATAATTATGCTAATGATACATTACTTACAAAATCAATGGTATGAATTATGATTAAATAACGAAAAATGTATTCAAAGATTTGAAAAAGGAAAATTCCACTTGATATCTAATTTTTCTCCCGTAGGTAACAAATATAAATGGCAGCTACAGAAGTGCAAATTGTAGTAATTGTCATCGTTGCTACGCTGCCTTTGTTTGCTGACAGGCCTCGACAGGATTCTATTTCTTCATCTCCTTCCACAAATTAAAAATATAACTGAACAAATCAAGAGACGCATAATGTTCTTGCCTTCAGTAGGCTTTCACTAGAGTGTATTTATTCAGCGGAGTCTCAGAGATAGTATATACAAGGACATAGATAAGGTCGACATAAGCATTTACTGGTGCTTGCAATCGCGTAAGTATAGAGCAGTCACAACTGTGCCTTGAGGTGTCAGCGTGAAGGTCGTATCTAGCTTCGTATGCTTGAATGTAAGCATAATCAATACCCTCCAGCGAGGACGAAGAAGATAGGGAAGAGTACGTAGTCATCAAGCACATGATGTGCTTGCAAGAGGGGTCAAAATTCATTCTGATGGAAAGACAACAAAATCTTGCACCTATAATATCGATGCGGTGACAGACGCGCGACATTATGTTACAATGCAATACTTGCAAGTATATTCTAATCAACTTTCAAGCTGAAAACTCCTTAAATGTTTTGGGCTTAAAGTCGCCCATTTCGCTAACGTTATCAACATTTTGAGGAAGGTTAATGTGATGCAAGCATGACTCAAAATTTATTAAACAAACAGAGGTATGAACGTATGTCAGGCGTTTGCCTAAACGAATGTTCGTTTGCAGATGATAGTCAGTCGAACAGACTGGTTAATATTAGATGCCGTGGGAGCTGCTTGCAGTCGGGCACACCGCGCCTGTTGCCAGGGCTCATTGCTTGCCACGGCGTGCAGATTTACGAGTGGCCCCAACGGCCGGCGCTGGCACGACTAAACGAACATCGTACTAAAATCTATGGTATATACTCACCAAGTTCAACAGCAAGCATTGCTGGAACTTCCGTCTTAGAATTTTGATTGTGAACTCGTTGACGTATTTTATATTGTTAAATTAGACAACATACGATTAAACTGAAAGTTCGCAGGGATACCTTGTTGCTAAGGGAGTAAAGGGATCTTGTGTTTCTAGGCAAGCTTGTTAGCCTAGTTTCCGGGCTAGAAAAATAGTTGCCAAATAAGGGGAACTACAAATTAAACGTAACAACGTCAATGAACTCGTCTAGCCCAACTCAACACAGAACTGAGCCCCAAAATCTATACTCAATTTGCAAAGAGGACTAGCTAGAGCGCAAAAGACGTACAAGCCAGCGCGGACGACAGCTATGAGACAACTGACATCAAAGCAGAAGGCAGCTGCAGGGTTGCCAGATGGAGCCGAGAGAAAAAGGCCAATTTAGCTTACAAAAAAGGCCACAAAGGCCCATTGTAAGTCTATAATACATTTTTAAATTTGATGTAATTTTAACCATTTGCAGTGCATACATTTACTCTCAAGACTTTTAGACAGCAAAAATACACTAATTTCAGCAAGTGTACGAGCTGAATTACTGCCAATGCTACATAATGCCGCCAGGTTCCAGCATGCAGCGAATTACATGTTACTCGCCGACCGTAAATAAAACCGTATATAATACCGGTCCAGAACTATGATATTTAGGATTCGATTGCCACCTAACAACTATAAAGCTTTTCGATCGCGTTTGATAGTTTTGGCTCAGTTTGCTTACAAAATAGATGGTGAAGTGGCCGGCGACATTAGTGATGTGGCGAAGTTTTTTGGTATTGATGGTAGAATATTTATATACGCAGAAATGAAAATAAATGTAAACTCATTTCTGCGGTATAAAGATGATGTGGTCCTTGCAAGACTAAGGGATATATTAGTAGTCAATCCTATAAATTTATCACAACTTTTGAATGCGTAGGAAAAAATATTGCCAATCATGATCCGGAGAGGAGTAATTATATTTATTAAAAGTAAAATTTTGCAGTGACTCACACCAGAAGGCTGAATGTATGGAGAAACAGCGCTCTAACCTCAAAAATTAGTGCTCTTTAGAAGTGAAAACTACCAGTCGATTATCCGAGCTCTCAGCTCTGCCATCCATGGTTATTCATGCGAGTCGGCAACTGGATATAGTCCCATGGTTCAACCAAAGTGTTGCCCGAATTAGGCTGCACTCGCCAGTGTTGTCACATAAACCGAAGTGTTGACACAGTTACGTGTTGAAATTTGAGTCTACTCGTCTTGGGCAAAACTAAATTTGGGTGTATACGTCTTGGACAAAATTGAAGGACCAAATTATCACCAAAAAAATCGAGAATTACATTTTCCATTAAAAAAGGCCCAAACGGACAAAAAGGCCAAATTAATTTTTGTCAGGCCAATGCATTACAAAAGAGGCCACATTTGCGAAATTGTGCCTGAAAAGGCCCATCTGGCAACACTGATTAGCAGCAGGCAGCCGCAGCTCACAGTAGCTGTTGAGTAGCTGAATGAGTCCACATGGCTGAACTGATGGCTGCTGTTTGCAGCAGATGTAGAGCCAGATCGAATGCAGTGGCGCTGCAACGTAATGTAAGTTATAGCAATGCTGCACGTGATTAAAATGTACGTACGTCGTACCATTCGAACAACAGGACTCTTTCTACGGGGCATTCTCAAAAATGCTCTTACCGAGGTGCGTCGGTGTGAATTGTCGCCTTTTAACTTTTTGGACCAGTTATATGCGTCAGGTTACACCTTTACAGAAACATATTTGTCGAAGCATGGTTGAAACTAATTATCATGACGGACTTTGAAAATTCTACGTAGCACAAACCAGTTTTGTGTAGTAATAGAGCATTTTTATTATCGTGCCCTGTAATATCTGATGGCCTATTTTCATCAATTTAAACTCCCAATTCTTTTCAGCTGAAAACATACAGCGCCAATAAGGATCTTTTCGAGTTGCGCGATTCAATGCAGAAACTGCATCTGTGTGAACTGGTACTGTCTGTCTGCCTGAAGTGAATGCACTAACTAAGCTCGCAAGCTTTAGAAACGTGTTGGGGAATCAGATATCAAGCTAACCTAAATATAGACATTGCTCAGTATTTTTTTCAATGCTGTGCTTCTACTGGAAGAGGTTTAGAGGCAGACCTTGATTAGGTAAAATTCAAATGTTTGAACTTTGAAATATGATGCAGTTCGTATATCAACTAATGTACAAAAATGCAAATTTAAAATAATTTGGGGCATTATACGAGAAAAACTATTACAGTTGAAAGCGTGTTTTCTAACTGATAAAGATAATTATAACAGCAAAGTTTTGATAATGCTGGTCAAGTTTCGTATCATTGTTATAAGATTAAGGGCAAAATTTTAACGTTCACTTTCTGAAAAATTGGTTAACGGATTTATGGAGCCGTCGAAAGCCGTCTCGGGTTGAAACTATACCGTAGTGGTGCTAATTCATGTCTGGGATAATAACCGGCCTCTGGAACCTGCTTCTTCTACAACTTCCAACTCGGCTGTGATCTTCAGTTCCAAACACAGGTTAATTCGTTCATCTATGTGCAAGAGATTGGAATATCTGTTCTAAACGCAATAGAATTTTCTTCATTCGAACATGCGGTCATAATTACAGTATAGATATCTTTAAAAGTTCATAGATATCTGCCAAAGGGTCAGCAATCTTGGGAGCACAAAGGCAAACGAAAAATTTTGAGTCTAGTAGATAAAGGAAAGCGCGAACGAGCTTTATAAATCAATCAAGTATGCCGAAAGAAAATTTTTTACTGGTACAAATGCCAGTAAAAAATTCTATCATGATCGCCAAAAGAGCAAGTGAATACGAAATATTTCCTGTAAGGTAAGCATAAAGTCTGTTTAATAGTTGATGAAGTCTTTTCGACATAAATATATGCTGCACTAACTTTTAGTCCGACATAAATATATGCTGGAATATATCTATGAAATCTATTACAATTAAAATTCATTTAATTGTGACTGAACGACTCAGTTCTAAATTATTTGCTGAGTTTCCATCGACCAGAACAAGCTCGAATTTCTTATGGTGATGAATGTTTAGAGGAATGTGAAGGTATTGCCGGAGACCTTCGTTGGAGTTGCCGTGTTCTAGATAGGGACAAAAAATACCTCTAATAAGAACTAGAGGAAGTCCAAGCACATACACCGACGCATGATCAGAAGGTTCCACATGGCACGCAACAGAGGCTTCGACTCTGGATGCTATCAGAACTAATGGCAAAGAGGAGGCAATAAATCAAACGCTGCGTGATTATTTCTCCATAAATTCATAGATTGCGTCTGACCTGAAATGACCCTTTGCCTTCTCAAAAACGCAAACCAATTAAAACGAATAATATTGCCTACATGGTGCGGGTAAGAGGTGTTCTTGTTACATAATTCATTATTCCAACACGCTGTACATGATAAGTCTGAGTTTCAACATCAAAGAACAGCTAATTGAACAAGAAGACATGCAAGATGAACAAATATAATATGTCATCGTCCCCTGTATTCTATACTGATGGACGGCAATGAACTCTTGGTCCAACATTTCATATATTTGGGAGAAATGCTTTCTGCGAACCGTGCACAAGACCAGACTGCTTGCCGTAGTTTTCAATTATTATAATTTTTTGTTTTAATTTCGATAAACAACATTTTCCTTGATTTACGAGTGCATAACCCCAACTAGCTGCACGTTGTTACGAAACGTTTCGGTTCCGTCACAGCAGTCGTCGTCTGCGTTGTTCACCGTAAGCGGCTCGGTGCCGACCGCTGCGCTCAGCGTTGGCAGTTCGCCACTGCACTGCATGCAACGTGGCTTTCGCAGCAACAGTGGCTGTCAAAATTTCTATAATTACTGGCCCATGGAACATCTATCACTTCGTGCGGCTAATTCCACAAACTCAAATGCTAGCCTGCTTTTCTCAGCTCCTCTGCTTGAATGCACGACAGGAAAAAAACGCGAATGATGGTGCCGTCGAGTGAGCAATTGGGTACGGTCCGTACGGCGTCACATGGGGCGTAGCTGTCGAGGATTTGTACAACTGGTGAGCGTGTCGCGTAGTTAAGTAAAATGACTCTTTTTTAGTGGCTAATCATAGGCAACCTTTCAGCTTTTCACCTAGTTTTTTTGTCCGACCTGAATAAGTTCTTCACTATTAATATCTATAAACAGAGAAGTGAATTTCATATTATATATCAATGCATATGATTACATTAATGTACACTGTACATCTCACAGAGAATACTCCGTTCCATGGTTTTAGATATTGTTGTAATGTTATTAATATCGTGTCATATCAAGCCAGAGATGTGCTCTCAGATGTGCAAATTTTACCTTGAAACTAAATTAGTCTTACGTTAGCTAGGTGCATTTCTCATCATGAATGAATGACGTAGAATATATTAATGTTTTCCTATAAAAACCATTTTCCTCTAACGTTACTCGTTCAAATATTCAATAATTATTCATTATTGTGGAACAATTGTCCATGTTGTCGTTTAATTTCAAGTATTTCTATCAAAAATTACAATTTGTTGCATGTGGCGACTGACTTCATTGTTCAAACTACGATAAATCTTACTGGTGAAATCCGTATTGCTGAAACATAAGTTTATGCCGAATTACTCTTATGAAAAGAAGTTCATTGCCACTCACATTCATCATAAAAGTTCGACACGTATTTTCGGTTACTCATAAATCTTTAAATTGAGAAAAATCTGCTTCCTGCGAGAGCACGAGAAAAAATTCTCACGTGCTTGACGGTTCATGAGTGCAGCGGAAAATAAGAGCCTAGACAACGCTGCTCAATTTAGATCAAATGCGTCGAGCTTGAATTTCTTGATTGCCTCTGCCAGCTGAAATTCAACAAGCGCTTCATAACGTTCACAGTGAGAAAATTATTTGATGTGCCTCAATTTTGCTAGTAAAACGAGCTTGTCTAGTTTTTTTGATTGTCTAGTTTGGCATTTTTGATTGACTATTTTGGCATTTTGTACAAGCATAAATGTTGCCAATTGATAGCTTGTGAGATTCTGCCTATGTTATACCTCTTCGATAATATTGTTTATAATACCTCCAGTTTTCAATAGCAATAAAGAAGCCAACTATATATGCCTTCTCTTTGGCAATTTCGTAAAGCCTTTTCGATGAATCTTTCAAAACTTACATATTGGATCTAATTCACTTACCATCTTTGCAGTGAAAACCCAGCCTTTTATTAATTTTATGCTCACTACGAGTGCTTTCAAAATCATCTGAGCTCATTTCACACAATGCTTTTTACGGCGTGTCCATATAACTGGGCATCCTATGTTAAGATCAAGGATAGCCACATAAAAAAATTTAACGTTAATTTTCTAGAGCTCTTTATATTGTATAGTTATCTTCCTTTGCTTACTTATGGAGTCAGCTAGTGCGCTCATGACGAACAGGGATGCCATATTTATACAGGGTGCGCCATATTAATGGCAACGGATATTTGCATTTAAAATTGATTTATTTCTAGGAGACTTTTCTTTTATTATGAAGCATAATGTCATCTATTGATTCCTCTATTTTATATTGCAGAAATATAAGGTGTCTAAATTTCGTATTACAAATGGCAGTAAATAGAAATGCGACTGTTACATTTCACAGAAAGGGCAAGAATAATTCAGTCATTGCAAAAAAACTCCAAATTTGTCGTGAAACTGTGTGGTAAAAAAATTCAAGGAGACTGGCGAAACATGCAATCGACCTGGTCAAGGAAGGAAACGAAGTGTACGAACAAAGCAATCGGTTAAAAACACGAGGGAGAAGTTGAGGAGAAACCCTCGTCGCTCAGCTGCAAAATTGGCTGCAGAAGCAGGAGTCAGTCGGACATCAATGCGTTGAGTCCTTAAAGATGACCTCAGAACCTCCCCTTACAAGATGCAAACGAACAAGGCATGAACTATAGTAGTCCGCCATGAAAGAATGAGATTCGAAAGATGCCAGAACATTTTGAATTTCATTGAGGATGGCATGCTGCCTAATTTGGTGCTCAGTGCCGAGAAGAAATTTGACATTGAACAAAGCGTTAACTGTCAAAATGCCACAGTTTGGAGTCGGGATGGATCTGTGGCAACCAGAACAGTAACGCGACGTCAAAATCACATGTCCGTGATGGTTTAGGACGCGGTAACAGAATGTGATCCTGGGACTTGATCCTTCAAGAAGCTTGGAGACCGTCATTAAAAACATGGGTGGTCATATCGAATAAATATGTTTGAGAATTGTTTAGGTAGTACTTGGCTATTAGCTCATCCAATAAAAATTAAATTCACCTGTTTTTTTCATTGAGAAATAAGAAAAACATGCGTTAGAATAAATATGGCGGACCCTTTAGTCATCTTCCTTTGCTTACTTATTGAGCCACAGCGCTCATGACGATCATGGATTTTCATAAAAGCCGACGTGACGCAGTTACATGGCGCTATAGTAAATAAATAATAATAATCAAGTTTTTAACACAAAAGGGAATAAACTTTCCGCCAAATTACCCTATATAGTGGGAGTTCGTACATTCAACTTATTTGTAGAAATTTATTACATCAGGGAACCACCTGAAAGCGACTATTTATTAAGTGATAAATAAATCACCCGTACACAAGATTTGATGCCTCCTAATCAATTTCAGAAAAAAATAACGCAAGGTGTTTGTACAAACAACAAAAAAATATAAACGGACCAGATTTCAGTTCAACATCAAGTACATCGATGCTTTATTTGAAATAAGGTTTTGAAAACTTTTAATAATGATTCCAAAAATTTCGGTATAACGCCTTGTACTCAGCTATTGTTGAGTTTTTGTACCGTTTTTTCGTCAATATTGCGAAGTTAGCATGTATGTTTTCCAGCCGATGAAATATTTATAAAACATTTAACATTTATTTATAAAACATGTTTTATAAACATTTATCTATAAAACATTAGTTTTTTATTTTATTTCGATTTAGTCTTTTTTGACTGCGAACGTTTCGTACATTTGTCTATTTGATAAATGCAGTATCGATCGACGCTAAAGAAGCTCAAGCAATCGCACAAGTGCCGTACTGTCAATTAAAGTACACGTAGCGTTCTAAGTACAAGTAGCGTTCTAAGAGCACGTAGCGTTCTAAGTACACGAAGCATTCTAAGTGCACGTAGCATTCTAAGTACACGTAGCATTCTAAGTAAACGTAGCGTTCTTAGTACACGTAGCGTTCTAAGTACAAGTAGCGTTCTAAGTACACGTAACGTTTTAAGTCCACGTAGCGTTCTATAAGTACACGTAGCGTTCTAAGTACACGTTAGAGTTCTAAGTAAACGTAGCGGCCAATAACACGCTTGTGATTGGTGGGTTTTGCTAGTAAAGCCGTCAGTGATTGGCTATCAGTGTTACAAACTGTTAACAATTTTTGACTGTGCGGCCCCTGATATCGTTCAATCGTAAATCCATTGAACACTTGTCTTGGCTATGCAAATGCATGTATTGATTTCTTGATAATTTCGTTCAGTTTTAGCTTGGTGCCTGTAAAAGCAAGTGTTTGTCAGTGGTATATAGAGTCCAGATATTATAAAGATTTCTTCGCTTGTTTTGATGAAGTCCAACTTGGAGGTACCAGCTTTATTGGAAATGTTCTTAAATTTTTTGTTTGAATGATCTCATTTTTGGTTGCTTGTCTTTGTATGAGAATATTTAACTTTAAAATATTGAGAATAGGCATAATGAATTCTATTTAAATTAAAATTGATTCAATGCAACACCGAAGTTTTATTTATAATTTTGATCTTATTTTACAAGTAAACGTCAGTAATTTCCATCGGAATGATCA